GCTTCAGCTCCATGGGATAGTGAGCACAGCCTGTAAGAAACCCAAACCCAAAACCTCAAACAGCTCAAAACCCAAACGTCCAAACAAGCCAGACCTCAAACCTAAAACCTTAAACACTTGAGGGCTGAAAACTACACAACCCCGAAGCTTCAGTCTTAATCACGGTAGCTCAGGATCGAAGATGCTCCAAAAGGCGCGAGAAAAGTTCCACGGCACCTTGAACCCTCGAGCTCAGATCCGGGACAGCGCTTCCATTGAAGCGACTTCACCGAGGATCTTGAAAGCATCCGCCGGAGGCACTTTCAAGTGTTTTTTTGCCGCCGCCCCGCATCCATCATGCCCCGGAAGTTTTGTCCGGTCATCTTGGACCCAGCCCACACGTGCAAGTGTGGTACGTGTTTGTGTTGTTGGGACAACGTCTGTCGAGAAGGCTCTTGCAGCACCTGCTGCTCGACGGATGGACTCCGGATCCGCGCAACAGGCCAGCCAAAATCATCGAAACCCTATGAATAAGCGCCAGCCTAGCCCAAGCCCGCCTCACTATCCTAAGACAAGCCACAAACAAAAGCACAAACCTTGAACCCTACACCGAAAAAACATCGCCAAAGACCAAGCCCTATTGCACAACGAATCAATGCCCTGGACCCAAAAACGTAGCGGAAGCCTACACCTTGAACTCGACATCCTGAGCCCCGAACCTCAAAGCCAGAACAAGCCAAACCTTGAGCCCCAGAGCAAACAGGACGTTTTTTTGTTGTTGAGCACTCCGAGCCCTAGAAAGCCAAAAACAGTGGACCAACGGGCCAAACTCCAAGCTGTTAAAGAAGACAAACCATATATCGCAACAAGTCAATAGCCCTAAACCCTGCACCATGCGATGCACCAGAAAGCGCCCCCACAAACCCTTATTCGGGTCAAACCTCAAACCCTCAGTTGAACCCCCAACCCTACACCTTTAACCCCAACACCAAAGCAAAAGCCAAGCTTGAATCTCAAATACTGAGAACAAGGTAACCCATCCAAATGGTAGACAACCCCGCCCCGGAAACAATATACATCCGCAAACCCTAAACCCTAAACCCGCAGGAAACCCAACCCTGAGCCAAAAGACTGCCGGTCAAGCAACAAAACGTAACCCCAGGCCTAAACGAAGCCCAACCCTGCACGAGTCACCTGCCCAGCACAAGCCCTCAACCCTAAAGTGTAAGCCCTGAGACATGGATGCTAAACCCTACAGTCCACACAAACCCAAAGTTGGGAAAATCGAAAGAATACCGAACCCATCAGAACACTAAACAACCCCCAAGCTACACCCGAGAACAAGCCTAGGCCTAAACCCTAAAAGTACAGGTCACTAGCACCAAACCCTGCAGCCCCTGAGCTGTGGACCTAGACGATACACTCCACAAAATCAGAATTGACAAGCCCGAAAAAAACATACCACACTAAATTACCGCCCGGCCCGAGAACCTTCATACAACCACACACCCTACCAAAGAAGCCGACACTCAACGTGGCCAAACCATAAACTCTAACTTGTAGAGGCGGAAGTCTGAGCCACAGACCCTGGACCCTAAGCTGGAAGCGATGACCCCAAACTGGCCCTAAACCCTAAAGCCAAAGCAAAGCCAAAATCCATGATTGACCCTAAACCCTAAACCCTATTATGAACCGTGACGATGACAGAATGAAGGTGGTGCGTGCTACTGTAGTGTTTGTCGATGACCCCTCGGGCTCGCACTTCGGTGTTCAGCGCTGGACCCGCCGTCGCCACTATCTTTTCCTCACCGAGCAAGCACGGACACATCGCCCGAATCATCGCAGAGGCCACAAGGACCGGAGGCGTCCGCCTTCGGCCTCGGCTCGCCGCGACCGTTCCCACGGCCACGGCCGCGGCCACCGCCACGTCCACGCGACGCCTGCAAGCGGTGTGGCACACGACGGCGTGCTTATAGGCCGAGCCCTTTCAGTCTTTCAACGACCAATCATTTGGATGTTGTCCTCAATTAAAGTAGCCATGCCTGGGTCTTGCGCGGTCTTGCACGGTCTTGCGCGCGCCCTCGCCCTAAAGCCTACCCTACTCTTCCAACAAGAGGCGGGGGGTTTAGCACGGCAGCCATTTAGATGACTCCTGAGTTGGCTTTCAGGCCTCACTTGGCATCGCTGCTGGCCAGGGGACCTGACAAGAAGAGTTGCTTCGTCGGGGGCACCCTCCCAGGTTGCGCATGGATGGACCGTGCAAAAACAACTGCAAGAGCCATACTACGCAGCCTGTGCGGGCACAGGCCGAGCAGCCACCTCCAACATTGCTGCATGTAGAACGGATTCTGCGCACAGCGGGTTGTATGCACCTTGCAATATTGGTGTTTGAAGAGGCCCTCACAGCTTTGAGGAATGGGCATGAGGCACGCGCTTAGCTGGGGCAAGGCATCCAGGCCCAATGGTGGAATGCCTGATAGCCCAGAACACCAACATGCTGACGAGAGCTCTTGCAGAGAACGCATACGACACGAAGATGTGTTGGAGTTCATGACACAGCATCTGTCCAGCCTTCCTCATTCAGTCCGTCCGACGTGTCTCCAACAGCCTGTAAGGCTTGTAGAGAGTGGATGAAAGAGTGCCGCGTTGGCTCCAGCAGGAGCCGCACGCGCTTTTTCTGCTGCCATGGCATTTCACAACACGCCGGCCTGACTCTGCAGACCCAGAAGACTGGTCTGGGCGAATGGTAGCAGGGTTTCATAGTTGGAAAAACTTGCAAGACAAGGGTTCTGGAGAGGCAACGTTCGGATATGCATCCATTTTCTGCTGGACGTGTCTTGGGCACCAGTGGCGCCGCTGAATTTTTAAGCTCCGCACCGTGTGATGGTTGGCCAGTCCGCGCAAGACCAGCACCTTGCACCGGGAGTGTAACGAAAAGCTAGA